CTAGGAAACTGGTGTATCGTTGAAGATTTGTTTCATATATAAATCTAGTTCACCATCAGTGCACCAGTTTCACCTGCAACTCTATTATAGAGATATAAAGAATTGAAGCAAACATATATATCAAATTTGCTTAGGTATATTAAAAAATGGGAATTGATATTTCCACACCCTTTTTTGATGATGCCACACTCATGTAGATCATTTTAATTTTTTAAAAAATTTTTTAACTTTGATCGAATATATCTCAGCACCCACCTGATCATCTTTTTTTCTTTGAATTTTATAATTAAAATAAAGAAATTTTATAGAATTTGGTCAGGTGAATACCAAGATATCTTCAATAAATTGTATTAAAAATTATAAAAATCAATGATCTACATGGGTGTGGGAATATCAATTCCCCAAAAAATAAATACAGTATGCAAAAAATCTGCAAAATTTTTGTAAAACACTCTTTATAATCACACCCTATATAGTTATAACTCTATATAAATATCTAAAATTGTGTGATAAATTTAAATATAGTAAAAAAATCTCATTATAGTCACAAATTATCTATAATCACTATCACCAAATATTAATAATTTAATCTCAATATAATTACCAATTTTTAATTAATAAAATAATTTTTTATTTCATAAGTCCAAAATATCTATTAATCTAATTTATATATATTAATAGTAAATTTTATTTTGGATTATAAGCATAGTAGAGAATATTTATTAAGTTAAATATTAGAACATTATTTGCAATAATTATTATTTGAATATAAATTTGTCTATATACAAATATTGTATATAGTGCCGAAGTAGAGAAGGAACATAATAGTAATAATCAATATATAGAATTTAACTAATTTTAACTCCTGGTAGTGATTATTTGTAAAAAAAAAAAAAAGTGGAAAAGTGGTATTGTAATCAATGTTTGGTATTGGATACTTTCGATACACTGGTCCATTTTGGATGGTTTGCCACCAAAATGCCCAGCTTGATGTGAGGATTCTATTGAGTCTAAAATTGTTAAAATCCAATCACGAGATCCCGAGATCCTAAAGATTTGTTTATGAAAATTTCCAGATTTCTTATTTAATTTTAGTGATATAAATAGCGACCTTGAAATTCAGTGATTGGGTTTTAACGTTTTTAGGCTAGTTAGAATCCCCTCATCGAGCTGGTCATTTTGGCGGTAAAATTATCCAAAACGAACCAGTAGATCAAAAGTAATTACTTGCCAAAGATTATGCGTTTTTATTATAAGTTTAAATAACGTGAAATTTTATATTTTTTGTAAATGATATCTCATGATCTAATAATCGGAATTTTATACATTCAACTCGTCTCGATGAGACGAATCGAATGATATAACCTTCATCTTATTCTGATTGCTGCATCATGCGATATGTTAGTTGACCACAATACCCCTTGTCCACAATACCCTCATCTCCCTCAATATATAGGACTCGCGTATTCACAGATTCATGAGACTCAGACGAAAAAAAATTTACAAAATTCAATGATCCAATTAAATCGAAAAGAGTGATAATCATAGTAGAAATCATCATAATTCTGATACAAACCAATTTGATTTTAATCATACAGAAATCATGATAATTCCAATGCGAACCAGGTCAACTTGATCATAAAGAAAAACTAGTAATTTTGATACAAACTAAACCAATTTTAACATGTATTATGGTTGTTAGAAGCAATCACGTAGAAATCATAATAATTCCAATGCGAACTGATTCAATTTTAACCGCCTATTGTGGTCAAGGTATCAAGTATATCCTGTATAAAATTTTCAATGTGAATTATGATAATTTTATTACAAGCTAACTCAACTTTAATCGCTGTTTGTACCACATTGGCGAGTAATTCTGCACGTACAGAATTTTTACAATAATCAGAGTAGAAATCGACTTGACTTTTAACTACTTGATAAAATAGTAAGTTCTATAACAGGATGTTTTACTGCAACTCATGGAAATCGTAATAATTTCATACAACTAACTTGACCTTAATCACTGTGTACTTCTGTAACAGAATGCTTTACAGTAACTTGTGGTAGAAGTTACGATAATTCAAATATGAACTTAATACAATCTTAATACTATATACCACCGGCCGAAATACGATAATTCTGATGTAAATTAACTGGGCCTTAATACATTCTACATGCTAGTGAGATAGAGAATAAGTTTTTAAGAATTTTTTGCAGAAATTCGTAATAGAAATCAAGATAATTTGAATGCAGCTAACTAAATTGCACACTATCATCAGGAAATTTTTAAATAAGATGCATATCGATTACTAGCTGCAGGGTTAATTGCAATCGATTTATATCGATATAAATCGATTGCAATCATTTAAATTTAAATGATTGCAATCGATTTATATCGATTACAATCGATTGTAATCATTTAAATTTAAATGATTGCAATCGATTTATATCAATTATAATCAATATAAATCGATTGCAATTAACCCTGCAGCTAGTAATCGATATACATCTTATTTAAAAATTTCCTGATGATGTCACCGGAATGATTATTAAATCCTGTAATACGATTGTTTATACCTTTAACCATTTCTGACGGTATTTCAATCCCTAGTGTAACGAGTGATCTTACCTGAGTATCTAATTAAATTAGAATATGAGGCAATGTGCATGCTGACGTGAGGCTAACACGGTGGTGTGAAGCCTCTGATGTCATAAAGTAGGTTTCAAACGTGTTCTCTTTCATAATGATGATTAAAAATATATAAAAAGTAAAGCATTTTTTTAATATAAGTAAAACATCGTTTCCACGATTTTATCTCCTTAGTAACCTTGTATCATTCAATCCACATAATTTCATTATTGGAGCTATACTGCGCATCCATTAATAACACTTTCATTTAACTGTTATGCTGGTTTTAGCGTGAGCTATCTATATATATATTGAATTTCACATACCACACTTGATCGTACTGGTCCTGTGCAGCATCGCATGCCGCGCAGCTATCCTTATTCACAATAATTAAAGTAGTGTTAAAAGACTATTTAAAATTTTTCTTACAAAATACAAATTCGGATAAATTATTTAAACTTTTAGCGGATTAACTAAATATATAATTCATGTTTTGTTGCGTAGCCATTGGACAATATAAAATTTGTAGTAAAATCAGTAAATAAAAAATATAATCCTTTTTTAATAACTAAAAGTGTAGTGCAAAGGAAAGTCAACTTTATAACAGATCATTATTATCGATATTGTTGGTATTAACGAAATCTGAATGAGTGGTCTTCGGAACAATCACGTGATCATTCGGAGCACAACCTTGTACACATTTACGGTATGCTCCTTTAATTCTTTTGGGTTTAAATCTTTACTTCGTCTTAGGACACACATTCGGATTTTCATATATATGTACTTTTGCTACAGTGATATCGTTCAAATTTTTTTCATATAAACGTATGGTATAAAGATGCCTGACGAATGACGACACTTTCGTCATTGACGAATGACGAAACCATTCGTCAAGCAATTTCTGAATGACGATTTGACGAATGACGAAACCTATGACGAATGACGAAACCCATGACGAAACCCGTGATGATTATTAATGCATAACTTTTTTTAAAATGGAAACAAATCGATCTATACGAGGCTAATATTTTTTGTTTGTATTATCATATCTACCCATTTCTACTTTACCCGGTGAAGGCGTTGATCACCCGAAGATATCCGATGAAGTCTTACGAAAAAAACTACCGATACAAAAAAAAACACATTACCTTTAACATTTAAGAAATATGTCACAAAAGTTTAAAAAGATAATAAATAAAGCTATATACTATTTCTTTTATAGTATAATTTTATTTTTTATAACAAATAGTAGTTTCGTTAATGGTTTCACCAATCGTCAACAGTTTCATCAACAGTTTCAACGGTTTCGTCAGGATCGTCATTTGACGATCCCATTCGTCAATTCAAAAATAGTTTCGTCAAGCATCTTTAGTATGGTACATACGTACAGTACCTGATTCGTGCAAGTACGTACGTACTTACTATTACATTATATACTTTAATATTTAAATAATTAAATTATGTAACTTATACGTACTTCATTTGCGTTACCTAATTTGCATTTTTCGGGGTAATGCAGGAGTCTAAAATAGTGGAAATTCCGAAGCCAGATTTCCATTCGTGTAACACTATTGCGTATTAATTTTTACAAGCCACGAAGTTATTAAACCATAGAGCTCTGATACGTATGATAGCATTTTTATAAATATATATATTAATAGGGTGTCATAACTAAAAATATCATTATATTCTTTAAGAAATGTATTCCGAAGCATTGGTTATTGTTTGAATTTACGAAATAAGGGAATTAATTTTAATTCTGCACAATATACATTATCTCTTTAAAAATCCACTGGATCTAAAGGATTAGGTTAATCGTTTGCTGAAAAAGATAACCCCGAAATTAATTTACTGCCTAAAATATTGCATAATCAATAGTTGACCAATAATTGGCTCTTAAAATAATGATCTGTGCTTTCGAATAATCTGCCGATTCTACTGATTATGTAATATTTAGTCATAATTATCTACGTACTATTTTAGACTTCGAATATTAACAAATTAGTGTTATCTTAATAATATTTGTACATAAAAATGCTGGGTATTTATCATTTCTTTTAGTATAATTTTTTTCCAAATTATATATTTATCTTCGAATCTACCTTCACTTTCACTTCATGAACCAATTTAATCATTTAATTTTTTAAACGTTTTTCTTTATACTTTATACTTTCCTTAAATCATTCAATACCATTTTTTGGTAATATTTCTAACCATCATTAGCTAATATCTCATTGCTTCGATAACATTTAGAAAAAGATTTCTACATGTAAAGAGGAAGTTCTATTGCTTTATTACGTATTGGTGGTTTCTTTGGTGTCAAACAACGATATAACTATCAATAACCACCTAATAAATTGATTCATTTAATATGAGTGACGCTACTAGCCCTCCTTACATAAACATAGTTGTATCAATTGGTTTAGCCGCAGTAGCATTAAATACCATTGGTTCTATATATGTCATCTACAGAGCATTCAATCGATGGATAGTGACAAATAGACCTTTATCAATGTCTTTCAGAGTTCCCATGTATATCGCGATTACTGGTATGTTATTCATCAAGATATCAAACTTATTTCACTGGAATTATATCCTTGACATTCGTTTCACCAGTAAAAAAAACATTTATCCAACATTTTACCGGTTAAAAAGTTGATTAAATTTAAATTAAAATTACTTATTTTATAATCGGTAAAATGTTTTCCTGACGACAAAAATAGTTTTTCGGTAATATAGTTTTCAGGGATTTAATTTTTAAAGTTTATGACATCAGAAATTCATTTATTCCTATATTTCTATTAAAACCCAGTGTTGTTAAATGACCTAAAAAAAAAAAAAGTTTTAAATGGCCTTTCAAACGACTTGAAATGACTTTAATATATAAAATTTAATAATAAATTTTAAATGACTCAAACGAATTATTTCAGAAGACAAATACTATGCAAATTTAACAACACTGATTTAAGCCTGTTTTATTTAATTAACTAAATTGTTATCAATCATACCAAATCAATTAGACTTATTTTTATGCTGCGCGAACTTGATAAATCTGGTATGTATTGTAAATATTAAGTATTAACCTCATTAATACCTATTAACTCACTTTCTATCTCTGTTACTCAGTCATACACGTTGAGCCATGGTGAAACATTTCAGGGTATTGCCTGTAAAGTGGTTGGTGGATTATCATTTTTCGGTGTCTCGAATAACATGTCCTTAGTCGGATCTCTAGCGCTCCTAACTTACTTTCGAACATGTCAAAAATGGTATATCGATCTGGGAAAATACGATTATAAATTATTTGCAATTATCTCATTAGTATCCTTTATGCTTACTTTGATCGGTGTTCCAAGCTTTGGTCCTAGTGGATACTGGTATGTTTTAATTTTATAATACTTTAAAAAATATTTATCATTCTAACCTTAATTTCATTTTTTAATAGGTGCTATACTAATCAAATTAATCCAACAACTCCTATAATAGTCATTATTCTAACTTTCACGATAATATTAATCACATTTTTTTGCTATATCGCAACTTTACGTGAAATAAACATTCAACAAAAAGCTGTTCGAAAACTTAATACACAATCAAAACTCAGTCGTGTAGAAATAATTGTTACGAGAAAAATTACTGGCTATATTTTAATTTTCCTTTTACAATGGACTCCTTCAATATTTTATGTTATAGGCCAAATTTTAGGTGTATGTGTCATATTCCTTTCGTCATTTAATTAATTATTAGTTGTTTTAAATTCCTAATTTTATTTTTTTTTTCTATTTATTTCTTTTATTTAGTATGATGCAATTTGGATGTATACTTTAACTGAGGTGTTTGGTAATTCCGGAGGAGTGGGAAACATGATCTTATTCCTTATAAATGAAAAGTGGAAAGATGATTTCGATTCATTACCTGATAATTCAAATTCAAATTCAAATCCAAATTCAAATTCAAATTCAAATTCAAATTCCAGTTCAAAAAATCTTAAAGAACAGACTATCAACTCTGAAACTTTTACCGAACAAAGTGATGAATGGATTAATAATGGAAATATTTCACCATCTAGAATAAAAGTTCATGAGGTTGTCACAATCGAGACTAAAGAGATTCTTTAAATAATTTGTATTTTGAAAAAAAAAGTTTTTTACTTGATTTTTTTTATATGCATAAACTGGGTTGATAAACTTTTACCTGTTATTATGGTTTGAAAAAAAAACTAGAAGTAAAGGGTTTTGAAATCTGTGTTTATTATCTTTTTACACTATGCAAACTTAATAGAAAATGAATTACATTTTAAAGTTATATGAATTATTTATAATTATTGGTATTTATAAAAATGCATATTTCACTATTACCGTTAGTAGTCAAATGAGATTCCAAAGCATAATTGCCATATAATTGGAATAAATTTAGAATGCCTGCTAATTCGCCATGCGCTTAAATTTTAGCAGGTTAAATTCTTGAACAAAATTGTCAATGATAAGTACATTATTTAAGAAAATTACTGCGCTTTTCATGAATAAATCTAATTAACATGTTAGAAATAAAAAATTTCAATTCTCAAGCATCACTTCTATTAGTACATTAGATCCGGTAGTTATTTTACAGCCATTTTCAAAAAGGTGTGAACGGTCGTAGATCACCATGTCATGTGGGAATTCACGATATTTCCCAGATTTCCAGAGACCCGCTCTAATCGAGAAGTTTAATCTATATTTCCAAATTCTTCGATTTCCACATAGGTGTATGAAAATCGTTGTTCACCCATTTTTGAAAACGCTGTAACAAAGTAATATCAAAATTTTTGGAGTTTTTTTTTTTTTTTTTTTTTTTTGTTAGTAGGAATTTTAATATTATTTCAACAAACCATCTGTTCCAATGTACTACTAGAGGCAGAAAACTTTTGATTTGGGTGTGATTAGGTGTGTTTAGTCTGTACGAAAATTTATGACGAAGATTGTTCCTGCCAATCAACAGGTTCGACAAAAAACAAAATATAAGATAAGTTTTCATAATAAATATATTACATAATGAGGCGCTAAAAAAAAGTTCGATATGAACAAGAATTTATTGGACTAAAGAAAATATAACTCAAGTTATAATTCCAAACAACAAAGTCTGAAATAATTGCTATTGAATCCGAAATATCCATCTTATCTGAAGTAATAGTAGTATAATCTGAAGAGGTATCGATATACATTATCTCTGTCATTAAAAAGATATGCACATTACGTAATCGCTCATTACCTAAATCGCGAATCGGCCAACCAATCATTCGGTCAATTTTTTTACCAGATGTCACAAAATTACTGCTATTTTCATAATTTCTGGAACACCTGATAAAAATTGGCCAAATGCTTTTTCGGCCGATTCGATTTAATTTGTGATTTCGGCATGATCTGTATAATAATATCATAACGATTGCTTTACTGATCATTATAACGATAATGTCAACATTAGGGGGTTTCAAAGTTAAAATGCGGGAATCTAATTTTAATTGAAATTGATGACGTATTTATTTTGAAATAAACGATCTAACAATCCGATCTTATTTTCAATTAAATTTCGAATACGCTTATTTGTATTATTAATCATTTTATATCTTTTCACAACTTGCAAAATTCTTGTTTTTTATTTAATATGCCTAAAATTTCATCCCGAAACCGGCAAATTAAAAGTATTGACAGTATGTTAGAACTACTTTTAAGCGAATACAATGCCAACTTAAATAAAACT